CACAGTGATTGACCTTCGGGAGTTGTTGTTCCAAGGCCGCAGTCGAAGGTGGATAGCCGCCCAAAAGGACCGGGGTGGTAACCACACTTTTCCTCGACAACGGCTCTCTGGTGAAGATGCTGGAAGCCTGTTTTAGTGGCCGAGCCATCAAAGAGTAGATCCGAGAGAAACGAGGCGATAGCTTCTTTGTGGAGAGCTCGAATAGACGGCCGAGCATTGTGGCTGGGTTCAGAAGCGTGGCAACGGTGGTGATTAGGATGGCCGGGTTGCGAACGGGTTTACCAGAACTGCTGCCCTTAGAGTGTTTTGTGAGAGGCGACCGGCAGGACAGAGGCCTCTGTATGAAGATGATCGATAGGGGACATTTATAGCAATCCGTGATTGAGCGGAGGGCAGCGTTCTGTAACGATTGAAAGCGACGGAGGCTGGAAGAGCTGATCGCAGGAAACCAGACTGGTGTCGCATGAGTGAAGTGCGGCTTGGCCAGGGCTCTGAATATGGTCGTCAAAGTCTCTTTCGCGCAGCCCCGGGATGTGCCCGCTAGAGCCTTGAGAACCCCGGTACAACGGCTCACTTCCCGGTTCTCTGTCGATGATGCTCGTGATTTTGCGCATCCTTTCTGCATTGGTTCTGTGGTCACGCTGATCGCTGCACACTTTAGTGCCAATAGCAGTGTCTACTAGATGTTTTGCGATCGCTGGTACTCTATTCACCTGACATTTCGGATTCACGCTCGAACCCATAATTAACCAGGTCGGGAAGAGTGAAAAGCTGGCCATAATGCGTTTTGTGCCCTCATATTTCTTCATTTATCCCACTTTTGCGGCGAAGTGCTTGACTAGAAGTCACTGGTTCCACTCCTGCGCCATGTTGTCATTTTCAGGAAGGAATGAGGACAAGGTGGTTTTCTTCAATCCGACTAGAGCCTTTGTTCTCAATGAGTGGCTCCGATGACCAAGGATATGTTTAATAGGATGTTACAGAATTTACTTACGCTTTTGCTGTTTAGTTAACGTCACAATTCACTTTTTACTTTAGAATTCTTGTCAAGTCGTTCCCTGGACACCTGATTTGGAATCCCGTCCTATGACGCAACCACACTGGATCTGCCAACCCTACTTACGCCAACTCTCCGACGGGTTAACCAAGGACGAACAAAAAGATGAGGTACTGATTTTTTCAGACTTTTCACCCATTTCCCGTTTCAGGACACAAAACGGAAGTGAATACCGCTGTGACGGACCTAGGACAAATCAGCAGCGCGGACCTTGTATATTTTGCCCCACTATGTCCGATGGAGCTGCCAACTTTGTATATTTATACAATTTTTACTTGGCTGTGAACAACGCGATTAAAATAATATTGCAAAATATTACTTTTTCTGAGGTCTGCGCTGCACAAAAATAATTTTGTGTGAATCTTCTTTGGTGTCTGGCTAGGCTCACTCGTGAGCACCCGCTAGGAAACTCGTGTTGTTGACCATCCCGCTCCGAGACTACTGACAACACATCACGTATATTCGGCGTTAGCCTAGCTGCTGGCTACTCGGCGCGTCCAAAGGTGGCGACCTTCAGTGAAGGTTAGCTGTGAAATAAGCGCTCTTGGGTCTGAAGAATAAGCAGTCGCGGACCAGCAGCGGAAGTGCTACCAGGG